ACAAACCAGCAGCTAAACAGTGTTTCAGACCAAGCACACCCCTCCTCATGGCAGCATTACTCCCCAAAGTCAGCAGCCTCATCCAACCCAGTAATGAAACCTGACCACACCACAAAAACTGCTCAAGGAACATGATGAAGCCCCTAATGTGTTTACCCAAGAGGTGACCACCTCCTCTAACACTGTTAAATAGATATGGACAATTGAAGTTAAAGAGAAAGAGGTGCTCTTCCACATAGAAAACGTTTTTGAATGTGGCTAAGTAGATCGAGAGATGAAATGCATCAAGACCCTGGTAGCTTACGACCTCTGCTGGACAGTTTCCTGGGATTTTATCTTTCTTAAGTAGTCGAGTTTCCCTGAAGTCAGTTTGCTGTTTGATAATATACTTAAGATCCTTTTAAATGTATGAAAAGATGCTATAATTACTTTATCTTCCAAATTAAGAACTTACCTTATCCAGAGGTGTATGATGATTACAAAAGACTGTAAATACAAACTTTTCTTTTTACAACTTTACAGCAGTTGTGTAGCTGACTGTCTGTTGTGTTTTTCATTTTGGTTCCAGGAAGTGGCAGCAGAGTGTAAAAAAGCAGGCTACACTGGTGTTTTGGTGCCTATCAAGTGTGACTTGTCCAAAGAGGAGAAGATTCTGTCCATGTTTGCAGCCATCAAAGAGCAGCACAAAGGCGTGGATGTTTGCATCAACAACGCCGGACTGGCTCGTCCGGATCAGCTGTTAAATGGCAAAACCGGCGGCTGGAAGACCATGCTGGATGTAAGAGATCAGTGTTGTTATTTTAGAAACACGAATTCAAGGCTTATTGAGAAATGTAAATAATGTTATTCAGTGTGGAATATTTGTATGTTTTCTATTGTGACTAGTCGAAAACACTTCATCAAGTCAAAAGCGGTTAAACATGACATCCTTTTATAGCAACAACATGACGCAAACTGGAATGTAAAATCTTGAATAAATATAGAAGTAAAAAAGGCTGCAGCAAATATGGAAATGTCTGTCTTTAAAGGATGACAAACACTTTACTTGTATAACAGAAGCAATGATTTAGTGTGAAGTTTGGGGTCTTAATTCCAAATGTTTTCTTCACTGTTGCAGGTGAACGTGATTGGGTTGTCCATCTGCACACGTGAAGCGTATCAGTCGATGAAAGAAAGAAATGTTGATGACGGGCACATCATCCACATAAACAGGTGCAGCTTTCTGCAAATAATTGTCTGTTTGTGACAGCTTTCGACCTTATACAGGAGATGTGGCTTTAAACAAGGAAAGGAGACGTACTTTCTTAGAGATAATTCTTGTTCTACAATTCTGCAATTCTACAATTTCTTTTGGGAGACGCTTTTGTCCAAAGCGACATACAACAATCTAGATATGTGCCATAGAACAAATTCAAGTGTGATAGAGCGTTGATGCCAACAGCAGGCTGTGTGGGAGGTAATAGGATTTTTTTTTCTTTTTTTTTTTCTGTCTTTTTTGTTTGTTTTTTTGTTTGTATTTAGGCTGTCAAGTGCAAAGGTGTTCAGTGAAGAGCTGGGTCTTCAGGCTTTTCTAGAGGGAGTCAGCAGATTTAACACAGTTTGGTAGCTCATTCCAACAGCGCGGAGCCACGGAGGAGAAGAGTCTAGCTGTCCACCACGGGCCCTGTTGTGGTGGTTGTATCAGGCGGTTTTTGTTGGTTGAGCGTAATGAGCAGGAGGGAGTGTAGATCTAAATGAGAGAGTTCAGGTAGGAGGGAGTTGTTCTCGTTGTGGTTTTTGTAAGCAAGTATCAGGGTTTTGAATTTGATGCGAGCAGCAACTGGAAGCCAGTGACGCGATTTGAACAGCGGGGTGACGTGCTGTTTTTGGCTGGTTGAAAACCAGATGTGCTGCTGCATTCTGGATCATCTGCAGAGGTTTGACCGTGGATGCAGGGATGCCTGCCAGTAAGGAGGTTGCAGTAGTCAATGCGTGATATTATGAGAGCCTGTACCAGGAGTTGTGCTGCATGTTCAGACAGGAAAGGTCTGATCTTCCTGATGTTGTACAGGGCGAATTGACACGACCGAGCAACAGAGGCCACATGAACCTTGAAGGTTTGTTGGTCATCAATCATGACACCCAAGTTTGAGTTGGGTTGAATCAAGCTGGATGTTGTTTTCTTGTTGTAAAGAGGGACTGGCTGGGATGACAAGGAGCTCAGTCTTAGAGAGGTTGAGTTGAAGGTGCTGTTTTTTCATCCATGCCGAGATGTCTGCAAGGCATGATGAGATCCGGGCAGAGACTGTGGTCGTTTGGGAAGAAAGACAGGAACAGCTGGGTATCATCAGCATAGCAATGGTATAAGAAACCATGGGCCTGGATTGCTGCACCGAGTGAGGTTGTGTAAATTGAGAAGAGAAGGGGACCAAGCACTGACTCTTGAGGAAATCCTGTGGATAGGTTGTGCGGTTCGGACACTTCTCCCCTCCAGGATACTCTGAAGTATCTTCCCGAGAGGTAGGACACAAACCAGTGGAGGGCAGATCCTGAGATGCCAAGCTCAGTGAGTGTGGAGAGGAGGCAGCTGACGGATCTAGCGGCAATAAAGCTGAAGACTGTCCAGCAGCTCTGTGCCCTGAGATCATTTCAGTACATGTTGGTAAATGCTGACCAGCCCATACATCTTCTTCTGTTGCAGCATGAGTGGACATCGCACAACTCCAATGGCGGATATACACTTCTACAGCGCCACCAAGTTTGCAGTGACCGCCCTGACCGAGGGCCTGAGGCAGGAGCTGCGTGAAGCCAAGAGCCACATCCGGGCCACAGTAAGCCAACTGCAATTAAAGAAACAAAATAAGCTGATTCTAAAGTCTCCCTCTGTCTGTCACCAGCTCCACGAGTACCAAAAACACCACTATTATTAATCATAAAACACATACAGTACAGACCAAAAGTTTGGACACACCTTCTCATTCGAAGAGTTTTCTTTATTTTCATGACTATGAAAATTGTAGACTCACACTGAAGGCATCAAAACTATGAATTAACACATGTGGAATTATATACTTAACAAAAAAGTGTGAAACAACTGAAAATACGCCTTATATTCTACTGTACTGTACATCCTGAACTATTATCCTCTCTTTTCTGCA